GGGGTTTGGAGAGCGGAGTGAGTCAGATGTGCGCTATCAAAAGACCAATCTGGCGGCAGAGACCCAGAAGGGCTGGAAGAGGGAGGGGTTGCGGGGAGATTAAATGGGTGGGCTCAAAGGAGGAAGGAGTGGGGACTGGGGAGGAAACCAGGTCAGCTTGGGACCCACGGAGGGGCCCGGGGTACAGGGCTGTGCCCTGAGCCGAGGCAATGAGGTCAGCCAGAACGGTCCCCCGGCCTGTGGCACTCACTGGGGCATCGGGGCGGGTGGGCAAAGGGGTTGACAGAGAAAAAGCCTTTGCTCCTCAGTCCCCGAAGTGCCACAAAGTGGTAAAAATTAAACCCTCTCCAGACACAGCCATTGCAAGTAGGTTTTCAGGTAGCGAGAGGATTGTAAGCGGGGAACAATGCCCATTACAGCAGCATTATCCCAGATTATAAAGCTTCCAAGAGCAGGCTCACACCTCCAGGCGTGCTGTGCCTGAGATTTCCCGGGGACGCTTGGGATCCAGACGTCTAGGCTGCCTGATGCGAGGCCCCGCCGTGGGTGTGGGGGGTGCCAGGCACCAGTCTGGACCCACCATCCCTACTGCCTTGTCTCTGTTTGCCCGAAGAGAGAGACTCCTGTCGGGGGGTGGGGGGCAGCAGCGGGGGGCAGCAGGCCACCCCAGACTCCCGCAGCTCTGACAAACAGGGTGTGAGCGATGGGAGGCCGACGGGCCATCTCTGAAGGAAACCTGTCCCTTCGTGGGCTTCCTCAGCCTAAGACTCTTTCTGTCCCCCTCCCCACAGCAGAGCCCCCCTCCCCTGACCTACGGAGGCAACAGGACCACACACAAACACAGTCGTAGCCAGCCCAGCGATGCCCCTTCCGGGCCATAGGACCTTTAGCCAGGTAGTTAGCTTCTCTGGACCATGGTTTCTGCTTTGGTTAAATGGGGAGGCAAGCCCCTCGTTTCAGGATTAAAGGAGATACTGCAGGTAAATGGCCCGAGGGCTGGAACCAGTACAACCGCCGCGTGTGCGGACTCAGCAGTGCCGGGGGGAGTAGTTCATGTCCACACCCTGACCGGTTTGCAGGTATGTCCAAGATGTCCCCTGCGGCCCTTTCGGCGGTGTGGGACAATGGCGAGCGACAGAAAGGCCACTCTAGAAGCCTGATTACAGGAGGGTCCGCTGGCCCTGCGGAGTCCTTTGCCGTGGGCGAGGCTGGCAGCTGGGAGTGGCTGTCCCAGGCAGACCCCCACCACGGGGGGCCGATGAACAAAGCAAGCGCAGGTAACACCTGCAGGAGGGTGCCGTTTAAGATTTTCAGAACCCCACACAAAGACTACGTATCTTACACGTTCGTATGTACGCATATAGGTATGCAGATGCATAAAAACAGCCCGGAAGAAAACACTCAAAGGACTCAGGGGTCAGCCCTGGGGCAAGGGGTCAGGATGGAGGATTCCAGGTGGCAAGAGCACCTCACCCATGTAGATAGACATTAAAAAATACGTCCACAGCCGGGTGCACAGAGCGGGGCCTGACCCAGCTCGGAGGCCGTGGTGGGAACTGCAGGGCAGAGGGGCCTGGGAAGGGAGGGGTCTCCGTGCCTCATGCCATTGTCCCCAGTTCTTGGAGTCTGGACTCAGAAATGACAAGGGACATCCCCTGGCATCCAAGAGGGACACAGAGAGACGCCACTCCATCAGCCCGGCTGGGCTGAGGCCATGGCCCACCTCTGCTGGCGGAGCGTTCTGCCAAGAAAAGTATTGAACTACATAAAAATCCATCCTGGAAACCCCAGAGGCATCCTTAGAATGGAGCGTGGCCTTTAAATTAGAATGGTAAAAAAAAAAAAAAAAAAGGAAAATACAGGGCAAATTTGCCTGTAACTTGATTTCAGGTTAGTGAGGGCTGGTGGCCAAAAGCCGTGGCTGTGCCTGGCAGGGCACCCCCGCCCCAGCCAAGGTCCCGTGACGGTAGCTGTGAAGGTGGGGTTCCCCGTGCCACGGACACGTGTTCCCATGGAAACTCTGCTTTGCAGAATCCTCTGGAAATTGTCACACAGGAGGGGCCGCCGCTTCCCACACCCACTTTGCAGTTCAGTTTGCAGGGCTGGTTTTCTCCAGCAAGGGCTGAGAGGAGCAAGAGCCGGGGGGGGGGTGGGGGTTGGAGCCTGCACCCATGGGCAGGGGTAGGTGGGCCATTTCGGAGCTGCTGCCTTGCAGAGGCCAGGGCGTCAGGGGCACTTGAAATGTTTCACATGCCCCAAGGCTCTGCAGAGGGCGGCAGGGTTTGACCTAGGAGGAGAGACGGTGGGAAATTCGGGTCAGAGCAAGGGCAGGCCAGGCCTGGGGGCAGGGTCCAGACGGGAGGGAGCAGCACCCGAGGTCTGGCCCTCAGGGCAGCCTGGGGCTACCCCTAGCCTTCCAGGTCCTGCGTGCGCCCTCAGGATGGCTGCTGTCATCTGCCCTTAGGCTCCCCTTCTCCTGAGTGTCACCTGTCCCCCACAGGTCCCCTTCCCTAGGGCACTGTCCCAGCTGCTCTCTTTCTCCAGCACCCCCTGAGGCCACACACACACACACCTCCTGCTTGCCTCCCCTCCCCCCAAGCTGCTCCCCGCAGGGGCAGCCGCAGAGCCTGGGTCCCCACCCACCAGGAGGCCTGCCCCTCATTTAGCAGACCCTCCACACTGCGTCCTGGCAGCCTGCTTTCCCTGAAGGATTAGCGGGGAAGGGACAGTGCCCCAGGCACAGCTGCTGAGCCTCTGCCAGTGGGGAGCCCCCCTGCACCCCATCCTCTCTGAGCAACACTGAGCAGTCTTGATTGTCACTGAAACTCAGGCCCAAGTGGACATGGCTGCTGAGAGGGGGAACCGGGGAGGCCAGCAGCCACCCAGCCCCCAAACGGCCCCCAAGCGTGGTCCCCCTCTCCCTCTCCTCCACCCACTCAGTTACCCGAAAGCCTGCCGGGCTGCCTGCAAGGAGCTCTCTGTCCTCTCCTCCCCACTCACTGCCTGCCACCTGCAGCCCTGTGGGAACCTGCCACCCCTCACCCCTGCCTCCGCCCACCTCCACAGGCTCTCGGTCCTGGGGGCGGCGGGTAACAGCACTCGGTCTTCTTGGCTCCACGGCTGAAGTCCTAGAACAATCGTGCCCCACCCACCCTGGGTCAAAGCCCCTCCCAGGGTCCCACCCTCCCCCCTCCTCCTCCTCCTCCTCCTTTTCTTCCTCCTCCTCCTCCTCCCTGCCTTTCTTCTAGCTCACAGCAAAACCTCCTGGCTACACAGCCTTGCCCTGAACTGGGCTCCGCCACCACGCTGGCAATGTCTGCGTCCACAAGTGGGTGACCAGTCAGTCCCTGAGGACCCCATAAGCCCCAGGGAGGACTTGAGTGGGATTTTGTTCCGAGTGAAGTGGGGAGTGTGGGAGGTTTTGGGTTTTGAGTGCAGGGAGGGACAGGACCCAGTGGAGAAGGGAGTGTGGGGGCAGGGAAGCCGTGCTGGGGCCTGGGCCAGGGCTGGAGGGTGTGGTAATCCCGCCAGGCCCCCCTTCTCCACTCCCGGGGCCAGCTGGAGAAGGCCGATTCCCAGCCGGAGGGTCTGGGGTCCCGGCCCGGCCAAGTGGGCTCCTCCTGGGCTCGCTGGCTCTGGGTTTCTTGCGGAGGCTGCTGCTCCCTGAGCCGTAGTCTCCCCTCTCCAACCCCCCACCCCCGCCCTGGCCGCTGACTCAGGCTGCTGGAGTCGGAAACCTGGACAGTCCTGCTCAAGGCAGCTTCGCCTCCCTAAACAGGCACGCAGTTCATTCAACTCCAGCCTCCTGGGGCGCAGGGGCCTCTCCACTGAACCCTGTCATCTGGCTCGGAGCCCTCCTTGCTGGGTGCCTGCAGGCCAGGCCCAGACCCAGGCTGGGAGGCTGGGGACTCCCCTGTGGGCCCGGGGAGGCCCAGCATCACCCTATTTGAGGGGCAGGGCTTCTCCCGAAAATCAGTCTACGTCCCCCCTCCACCCCAGCTTTTCTCTCCCCGAGGTGAGGGCCTGTGCTGTGCGGAGCCAGCGGCCGGCCCAGTGCTGTTAGGGGCCAGGCTGGGGCTGCACTTTGGGCCCCTGCCCTTCCCACGCACATTTGGGGTTTGTGTGCGCGGGCTCCTCAGGGACCTCTGGGCAGCAGGGGGTGGGGAGGGAGGCCCGACTTGCCCAGTTTACAAATGAGAAAACAATGGAAGGCCAAGGGAGATGCGGGGTGGAGCCCCATAGCCTGGGCGACCTGGACTCTTAGCTCCTGGCTTCCTGTGAGGTGGGTTACCACCCGCAGCGAGGGGCCGCTGCAGGTGAAACGAGGGGTGCAGTGAACCCTCAGAATAGCGACGTGACACAGGGCCAGGCCGGAGGGGCCTGAGCTTCTGCGATATGAAGGGACCCCTCCGCCTACCCAGCGGAGGCCTCAGGCACCAAGCCACGTAGCTAGACCTTGATGGAAGCAGGTGGTCCTCGATCCCCAGGGGACCTGGGCCGGGCATAGCTCCAGTAAAGACGGAGGAGGAGGCTCAAGTCGAGATGGGCCAGAAAGAGGGGCCTGGGGGGGACCAAGGCCTGGGGTAGAAGGAGAAGCAGCTGAGGCCCAAGGGTGGAGAAGGCTTGAGAAACGGGGGTGACGAAGCAGTCGGTGCAGTGCACGCAGGCAGACGGGAGACAACCTCGGGGTTTCCCGAGGTGGGGGGCAGGGAGCTTTAGGTTGCGCAGCTCCTGGTTGGCCAGCGCCTCTCCCTCCCCCGTTCAGAAGGGTCTGGATCCCCTTCCTCACCAGCGGGCACTGGATCTTCGCTGCTCCAGCCCCCCAGGCCCCCAGCCTCTCAGCTACCTCCTCCGCCTCCCGCTCCGTCCCCAAGGCCAGCACGGCCTCTGCAGGACTGTCCTCACCCACGCCCCATACTTCCAGTTCCAGCACCTCCCCTTCACCTTATGCGGCCGCCTGGTGCCTTTGGCCTAGTGCAGCAGGGGCAGGGAGGGCGGGGGACGTTTGCAGAGTTGCTCCTTTATTCATCCGCTTTGCGTGCACACAGCACAGACGAGGGTCCCTCGCCAGGGCCCTCCCGAGGAGCTCCCAGGGGCCCAGTGGGCCGCGGTGCAGGCCGGTGCCAGGAGAGCCTGAGGGTGTCGAGGGGGCGAGGAGGGCTCTGGGAACAGGCAGCGTCCGTGAGAGCCCTTGAGACTGAGGAAGGGCCCTCCTCGCAGAGGGAACAAGCTGGACCAAGGCCTAGAGATGGCGAACACTCGGTGGGCCTGCCTGGGCCGGGGGCGGGCCGAGGCAGGAAGGGCCTGGGGTGTGGGGGAGAGTGAAGGGGTGCTCCAGGGCCTCACTCCCGGTCCAGACCAAGTCCTTGGGAGGGAGGGGCTGCGCCCGAGCCCCTGATCCAGGGCGAGACCTACGGGCAGGTGGAGCCGTCCTAGAGGTTTTCATAGACCAGGTTAAATTCATCGTCGTTCTCGAACCTATGTGGATTTTCCTGGGGGAAACAGAGAAATTACAAGTAACAGGGAAAAGAACAAACTTGCACTAATCCCATTTTCGTCAGAGGCAAACAAACTGATGGCCTCCTGCGCACCTGTGACAGGGACGCCAGCCCCTGCCCCCAAGCCCCCCTGGCCAGCCCGTTCTCTCTCTCGGCCCCACCACGCCCCTGCTCGCTGCCCCACGGGCCTCGCCTTTCCCGCGCCTCCCTGCACGCACGCTCTTTCTTCTGTCTGGGTGGTCCTTCGACCCCACTTCTTCCCCCAAAACTTCCTACTCACCTGCGGGGCTTGCTCAGCATCCCCAGCAATCCCCCTCTCGGGCCCCCTGCTCTGTGCTTCCCCAGAGCCTACCTCTCAGACAGGCCACAAGTGTGTCCGTGTACTTGTTGAGTCGGTGACCCTGTTCCTGCAGCCCCGAGGCTACTGGAGGGCAGGGGCGTGTCTTACCATCCCGGCCAGCACCCCGGGGCCCAGCACAGGGTGGGCACTGCCTGGGATGGCCCGGGCACATGGGTGTCCTGGGATGGCCCGGGCACATGGGTGTCCCGGGATGGGGAAGGCCTGCCTCCTGTCAGGGCCCAGCTCAGGGCAGAGTATGGAAAGGGCTCTGAGAATAGGAGATTCACCCCACAGCGCCAGCCTGGGCCCCCGGGGCGGGGGAGGCCAGGCACCAGCCCCCTCACTTCCCGATGGCTCTTCTAGGGTACCCATGAGCTCCTGTATCCGCTTAACAGCCCGTTGTGCTTTATGGGGTCCAGCTCTCAGATGTTACTTGACTTGGAACTCGTTTGAATTCAGGGGCACTTGGTTTTGCAGCCAAGTGTCATGCATCCACTTTACAGATGAGCAAACAGAGGTTTAAAAGAGAATCGCGATGAAGTGAAATGCCGTGGCCGCCAGCACAGTGATAAGGGAGCCCTGACCAGGCCGGCCCGGGCCGGCACCAGCCCGGACTCCAGCTCCCGACCTGAGCTGACATCGGCCTGGGGGCAGCTGGAAGCCTCACACCCCCGGCCTGATTGGCCACTGCAGACACCATGTGGGTGCCTGGTGGGTCCCACCGCAACATTCGATCCTCATGGTAAACCCATATGAGCTGCCGGGCTCCTCCATTCACAGACAGGAGACTCGGGCACAGAGGGCAGCTGCTTGGCCAGGGCTACCCAGCGGCTAAAGGGCAGAGCGCAGGTTCCCATCCTCTAGTGCTGTCGCCGCTAGGCCGGCAGTCTCAGGACAGTGCTCCGAGCCTCAGCTGGTGCTCACGCCTGTGGTCTGGTTTGCCCCCTTGCACAGACGAGGAGAGGGTCTGATGGAGTTAAGGGGGAGCCGGGCTGGCTGCCCTGTGCCCTGCATACCTGTGAGACCAGGCTCCTGCTGGAGGGTGTTCTGCTGGCCCCGGGCTGCATGCAGGCGTAGATTTCAGTCTCCCGGCGCTGCAGGGCCTGCAAGAGATGGCGTGAGGGTCAGAGCGGGGTGGACAGAGGGGCAGGGCCTGGCCCTGGCAGCCTGCGGGAGCTCAGAAGATGGGCAGACCCTGCGGGCCATGGTCTGCGAGGGGACGCCACGCCACGTCTGGTCACACTGCCGCACCTGTTGTACCTGCCATTCCCTCTCTTGGAGCCACCTCACCCCTTCGCGCTGGCACAGGGTGACTGCTCTCTGTGCCCCCTGCCACCTCCCTCCCACCCCCTCAAGGCTCCAGCCCGCAGACCCCAGCCGTGGTACCGTGGCAGTCGCCGCAATGGCACGCCCTCCGCCATCCAGCCTTACTCCCCTCGCTCAAACCCCCATCCCTCTGAGGGTCCCACCCACCCGTCCACACCTCGAGATCTCCCTTGACGCCCCCACTCCAGCTGGCACTCACAGGTGACCTGGGCACCCAGGGGGGTCACCCTTCTCTCCCATCCAGCTGTACCTGGTTTGTCCCTTGGTCTCTGAACGCATGGTTGTGCATGGCACACTTCGAGAACACCGCTACATGGCCCGTGATGAGGGACCCCTCCCTCACCTGGGCGTGTGTTTCGGGGCCATACCCATTCTTGGCCCAACTGTGAGCAGCCTGGCCAGAGCGCCTCAGGGTGGTGGAAAGACCCGGGGCTTTGAAATCGGACAAGACTAAGTTCAACTCCTGGCTCTGCCCCTCAGTTTCCTCATCTGTAAAATGGGAATAATCCTATCTATCCTGCAGGCTCGATGCATGATTCAATGAGATATTGTGCGTGACGGGCCCAGCACAGGGTCTGGAAAATAGCAGGTGCTTCACAACTGCAGAGTCATCGTCAGGGAAATGGTCATGAAAGAGGCCGGACACCTCCCTCCCCCTTCTGTGGTCACAGCCTGGGCCCCGTGTGGGACCGTCAGGGATGCTGTCGGGGACTGTCAGAGCAGAGCCACCAACAGCCTAAGCGAGAGGCAGGAACTTTTCCTTCCCACGTGTGCATGTCATAGGGATGCCAGCTGGTTGCCAAGGAGGTGGTTTCCCTGGCAACAGGCAAGCAGGGGTTGCCGAGGCAGGCTGGAGAGACAGGTGGTGCTCTGAGGCGAGGAGGGGGGGACGCCGAGGGGAGGAGGGAGGCGCCGAGAGGCAGCGGGGCATGAAAACCCGTGTAATAAACCATTTGGCTCTGGGGAGTCCCTCACTTCAAGGGCATCACTCACAGTGAGAGCAAGGTGGCCCTGGGGACCAGTTCGAGGGGCCTCGGAGTCGGACAGAGGGTGGGTGGGTCTCGGCAGAGGGGCTTCCAAGCTGCCCCCTGGTAGGGAAGGGTGCAGGGCTGCCCCGAGGAGCAGCCCCAGTTCTGGTGGAAGGCAGCTGCCCAGGCCTGCTCCGACCCATCGGGTTGTCACGCTTGCCCAAAGCGCCGGCCATCGCCCACAAGCCTGGCGCACAGAAGCCCTGTGCCCCTACCCTCTGTCCACCCAGGCCCGGGTCTCCACGGATCTGACCGCCCCTCCAGCCGGACACTTCTGGTCACAGAGAGGAAGGAGGAACAGCCGCCTGCCGACACCCCTGCAGCAGAGCGGGTCCCGGCTCCTGCGGGCGGCTGCCTCTCCCTAGTGTCCGGCTCACGTGGGCTGCCTGCCGCACATTACTCCGGAGAGCCCCAGAGATGTCTCGGGTCCCACCGCCCCTCTGTGGGGGAGCCGAGACTGGAACCCAGGCCTTTTGCCCCCAGCTCCTTGTGTTCCCATGAGGCCAGGGGCTTTCTGAGCCAGACAAAGGCGCCCTGCCCCAGGACCCCGCGGGCCGCTGGCCCACACCGGCAGGTGGTCGTGCCCAGGGCAGGAGCAGCTGCAGGGGCTGAGGGCGGGGAGGCCTACAGAGGTGCTGTCAATTAGCAGCTGAGCAGCGAAGCCTCTGACAGGTCCTGACCTGCTGGCGGCATTTGCATTCAGGGTGAGACCCGCATCACCAGGCTGTGAAACACAGGGCAACCTCAGAGGCTCTGAACCAGGCCCTGCCGGCATTTCTAGGTGGTGAGGAGGCTGGCCTCCTTCGGGGTGGGCCTGCTGGGATTGGCCCGCCCAGGCCTCTGCAGGGGCGGGGCTGGGCCGGAGCTGAGCGGGGCCTGGGGCTGTGCCTTGAGGGGGCTGGACTAGACTGCACAGTGGCGATCCTGGGGTGCGCTGCACTGCGCAGGGCTGTGCTGTCCTGTTAGGGAGATCGGGCCATGGAGGGGGCGGGGAGGTTGCAGTTTTAAAAAGGGAGGTCAGGAAGCCCCTCACTGCAAAGGGGCCATCTGAGCAGAGAGCTGGGGACTGAGGGAGCGGCCCCAGGGACAGTCACAGAAAGGACACGCTAGAGCAGAGGGCACAGCCAACATTGAGGCCCTGTGGCGGGGGGCCATGCCTGGGACGTTTGGGGAGCAGCAGGGAGGCCAGTGTGACTGGAGCAAGTGAGTGACGGGGAATGACAGTGGGGGGACATGTGAACAGAGCTCTGGGAGGCCACGGTCAGGGCTGTGACGCTGACTCTGAGCCGGACAGGAACCTCTGAAGGGTGAGGAGACAGGCGACCGTGTTGCTCAGACCCGCCCCTCCCCGGATCAGCACTGACCGGAGGCCCCCGGGCCGCTGGGCTCTGAAACCCGCCGCTACTTGCAACGGAGGCCACGCGCCCGACGGGCTGCTCCCGGCAGGTGGTGAGCACTAAGGACACCTGCCCTGGGGGACCCAGGGCTCCTGTACCTTGGAGCTCCCAGTGGCCTCCCGAACCCTCCCGAGGCAGCAGGGTGCTCACTGCTTCCTCTGTGCCTCCCTCCCCCGCCCCCTCACTCAGGACCAGCCCTGCATCGGCCCCATGGCTCCCCTGGCCTGCCCCAGTCTCTGTCCCAGGTGGTTTCTCTGCTGGAACTACCGCGCACGTAACCCCAGCGGCTGTCTGCTCCTCGGGGGACCCAGACACGCCCGGGGCTCGGCTCGGAGCAGAGCGGCCGCGATCCGTCTGCGGTTGGACGGATCCCTCCGCTGCTGCGGGGTCGGGGACACACTGGGAGGCAGGGAGCGTAACAGGCCGGCTGGTTCGACACTAACTGCAAGACGCCAGGCAACAAATGGTGGGGGCCCCCTGGGGGGGTGAGAGGGGTCAGGTTCCAGATGTGCTTGGAAACAAGATGTGCTGATGGACCAGACACGAGCAACAACTTCCATGTTGTTAGCCTGAGCGACCGGAAGCGCGGAGCAATCATTCACCGCGCGGAGGGGACCGTGGGGGGAGGCGCTCCGGCGGGTGGTAAAGAATCGGTTTGGCCGGAGAGAGAAGCAGACGGAACACCCAAATGGAGTCGACTCCAGTGATCAGAGATGTCTGGGCTGGAGACACAAATCTGGGGGGCTGCTGGAGCCTGGATGGTCTCAAAACCTTGAGGCTGAACGAGAGCACCCAGGGAAGGGGGTGAGGGTCAAAAAGAAAGGGTCCCAGAACCGGACCCCAGTGTTTACAGGCCAGGGGTCCAGGGGTCCCTAAGGAGGAGACTGACGAGGTACGTTTGTGAGTCGGGGGGGGGGGTGGGCATCCGGACAGAGTGGAATGTTCCAGAAGCAAGTGAAGAAAGTGTGTCAAGGAGGAGGGAGCTCTCAGTGGAGTCCGACACCGCTTACGCTTCAGGGCCAGTGACCGGCCGGGAGCTGCCCGGTGGGCGTCGCGGTGCGGAGGTCGGTGCCGCCCTCGAGAAGGGAAGAGCGGCCGAAAGCCGGCAGCGGGCCAGGAAGGAGAGGCAGAAACCGCGCCGACAGTTCTAAGACGTTCTGGAGAAAGTGCAGAGTTGCTGGAGGGGCATGTGGCTCAAACAAGGAATTTGAGGTGGAAGAAACCATAGCATGTCCGCAAGCTGTAAGTGTAGTATTATATCATTAGCCCTATTGTACAGGTGATGGAGCCAAGGTTCGGAAAGTTTCAGTGGCAGAACTCGTGAGCAGAACAACCGGGTTTGAACCCCAGACTGTCTGGCCCACTCCAAATCCATGCTGTTTTGTAGGTAAATTAAAGTGTTTTTTTCTTTTATTGATTCTAGAGAGAGAGGAAGGGAGGGAGAAAGAAAGGGAGCAAAACATCAATGTGAGAGAGAAGCATCGATCAGTTGCCTCTTACATGCACCCAGACTGGGGACCGAACCCGCAACCCAGGCCTGTGCCCTGATGGGGAACCGAACCAGTGACCTTTTGGTTTATAGGATCATGCCCAACCCACTGAGCCACATCAGCCAGAGATAATAGGTAAACTGAAATAAAAAAAAAAGTCAGAGAACTATAGCGTTTTATCCCCATGTCTTAATATATCCTAAGCATTTCCCTGCATGAATAAAAAGCAAAATTTGACGTAATTAAAAGGAGAATACACAAATCTACCATTACATGGGCAGATTTTAACTCACTTCTCTTAACATTTGTTAGATAAAAAAACAAATAAGGGCATGGGGTGTTTTAACAACATCAATCGGGCCTAATCGACATAAGCGAACACTCACGCTGCCACGCACGGTGCACAAAGCCAGTTCTTCCCACCGGCACGCAGAGCGTGAGCTCATCCATCAAGCAAATCTCCGAAGACTTCAGAGGGTTAAAAGCATACAGACTATATTCTCTGATCACAGAGGAATTAGTGAGAAATAAAAAAACAGGATAATAACTAGAAAATAATTAAACATTTGAAAATTAAGCAAAGCACTTTCAAATAACCCATGGGGTTAGGAGGAAATCTCAATGAAAAATTTAAGCTGAAAGATAATTAAAAATACAACATGTCAAAACTTGTGGGATACAGCTAAAGCCATACATAAAGGGAAGTTCATAGCTTTAACTGCATAAATTAAAAAAGGAGAAAGATTGAAAATCAATAATCTAAGTATCCATCCATAGAGAGTAGCGGAAAGAATATTCAAAAATCTTTCCCTAGAGGTTGGGGACAAGACAAAGATGCCTGCTGTCCTCACTCCTATTCCCC